ACCTATCTATTGTCTATCTAGCCATCTATCTACCTATTTATCTATCTGTCTGTCTTTCTATCTACTTGTCTATCTATCTAGCCACCTATCTATCTATACAGTCATCTATCTATCTGTCTATCTATCTATCTATCTTTCTATCTTTGTCTCTATCTAGTGGCAGTTGCTCCCCCTCAATTGGCCTAAGTTTGCTTCTCTATAAAAGGAAGGAGAAATAACCAGATGATCTATATGGTGCCTTCCAGCTCTGATGTTCTATGCCTAAGTAGTTCAATATATAGAGAATAAGTTGAATAGAAATGTTTTTAGTAGCTTAATGTCAAGTGTATTAATTATTATATGAAATCACGTGTGGACACAAGAGTAAATGGCCAGTCCTATTTCAAGCTTCTAGAATTTTAAATTTCTCAGTCCCATCAATAATTCTTGCTGTTCTACGAGGTCATCAGTTCAAACTCCACTGTGTACTGTTAATGAGGAGTTGAAAGAACAGAACTAACTCCTTAACATTAACCTGACTTCTGTATAATTTACAACAAATGCATATTGATTCCTATAATGCATTAAAAACATTATACTTTCCAGCCCTATAATGTAAAGTACTCTTTATCACTCTTTTTATTAACAGTACAGTTCAGAATGACTTAGAAATGCAGTTCCTGGTCCCAAAGAAGTAACAATTATGAACTTAAACAACCCCAGTCTCAACCCTTAAACTACGCAGTTGGAAAGTAATCCCAATGAACACCCACTGCTGTGAGGCTGTTTCTGGCTAGAATGAAAAGGAGAGGAGGAGGAAACATTTTTAAAAACTCATTTGTGGTGTTATCTTGGATTTCTTCAATATTTCAAAAGATCTGTGGTTTTGTTAGTATGGATATTTCTGTCACCAATGCAAATCATAGCTTCTTGGAGACAGTACTTCATGAGCTGCAATGCCCAAAAACATTAATTCCCACTTAGGAAAGTCTTCTCCACATTTTACTACCAGGGTTCTTGAGACCATTCCCTCCTTTCTAGCTCAGGTGCTTGCCACACCAATCATTCCTTCCCCTCCCCCACCCTCTCCCACCCCTGCCCACCCTCTTTACTATCTCCTTATCCATTATCTCCTTTTGTGACTCTAACAAACCTAACAAACATGACCTAGTCTCTCTTATTCTTAGAAAGCCTTCGCTCGTCCCTGGCATCTCTTAGTCTAAATCTTGAAGGGATTATTTACATTCATTTCCTCACCTTCCATCTACTTCTCAATCCCTCTTCAACTTTGCTTCCAACCTCACCACTTAACTGAAACAGTTCTCCTTCAAAATTACCAATGGCCTTTACTTTAAAACTCATCTTTTTCATTTCTCTTCAGCACTGGACTCTGCAAACCACTCTCTTTCCTCATGAATCTTTTCACCTCCGATGGCTGCTGTGAGGCTGCTCTGACCTGGTCCTTCTTTTGCCTGGCTTCCTGCCTCTTGGTTTCCTCTGATGTGTCATCATCCATTTCCCTCCCATCAAACAAGGCTGTCCTCCAAAGCTCCCTCATGGGCCTCCTTCTCTCTCTTATCAACTCCCATGGATTCATTGGTCTCCATATAGATGCCTCTCAAATCTGTGTCTCTAGCCTTACTCTCTTTCTCCTGAATTCTAGTCCCAATTCTGCCATCAATTGCCTGCCATGCATCTCCCATCCATGATGTCCCATCAGATTTACCATGTCCAGTCAGCAAATGTTGTCCCTTTTACCCCTGCAACATAGCTCACATACTTCCTCTTCTCCCCCTCCACATGGCCACCATCCTAAATCAGGCTGGACTACTGAAATGACTTCCTTATGGACCCCACTGCTTCTAGTGTTTCTTCTCTCTACTTCAACTTTCCAGATAGCTGCAAAATTAAGATTCCTAAATCACAGACAGGTCTAACCATATCACTCTCCTGCTCAAAATTTTTCAGTGGCTCCCCATTGCTTTTGGGATAAAATGCAAACTCCTTGGCTTTGCAGTGAAAGCAATCCATAATTTGATTTTCAACCACTTTGTCCATGTCCTCTACATTCCAGCCACATTGGTCTTCCAGGATTCTCTGACCTTGACGTGCATCTCTTACCCACAGCTCTACTGTGCTGTGCCCTCACTTTTGCTTCTTGGAATCCCTAGCTTCCTTCACAGCTCAGCTTAGGGGTCATCTTTCTTGAGCCCCTCAGTTGTTAGGCTCCTCTCCATTTTGAAATGATGTTTACTAAATTTACTAAAGTGTGAAATTATGTCCTCCCAAACACCCCCCCCCACAAGGAGAATGCATGCAGAGATTGTTTTGTCATGATTTTTGGGTCCCATGAACCCTGCACCATTCCTGCACTAAGCTCACACTTCTAAAAAGCTTGCCAAATTTTATTGGATGTTCTAGACTGAACCTAGAATGACATACACAGTCTGCTGCTTTTCCAGGTTGAGATTTCTCTACCATGGAATTTGTAAGACCTTCAGGGAATATATCCCTCACATGAGAAAACTGTCATGTAGACACAGCATGAGAATGCCAGTAAAAAGCCTTGGCAATGCACATAACCATGACAGAGTATGGGAAATCAACAACCAGAAAGTGAAACTGGGCTGTTGATTTTCTATGACTTCGTTGGGAGTTCCTTGTGAGGAACTTTTACCCATGCCAGCAGCATCTTCTCCACAATGCTGCTTCCCCTGTTAGATTGGGATCTCCTTGAAGGCAGGGGCCTTTCTTCATTTTTCTTTGTATCCCCAGTACTTAGCATAGTGCCTGACACTTAGTAGGTGCTGAACAAATACTGACTGACTGATTTTGTGACTGGAGAGTAGCTGGGGCCATAAGAAGTTATATGATGCTCCCAGAGACACACAGTCAGAAAGGGGGAGATTCCAGGGAGGGCAAATTCAATTAACTGGCATTGTTCAACAGTACTCTTTTAAGAGTTTGAATAAAGCGTTGAACAAACAGTTCACGCTTACGGAGACACTACAAAGATCTCGTCCTTCTTTAGCCCTCTGCAGCATTTAACACTATTTATTATTGATCACCTCTCCTGGATACTCTCTCCTCTCTAGGTTTTCATGACACCATCCTACTTAATAAACTCCAATGTTCCTTATTGCCTCTAGGATTAAAACAGAATTTCCTCTGTCTAGCTGTTCAACTTTTTAATATTTTATTCCTTTTCCTGGTCCTCATCCCATTTCCCATCTCCAAGCCTTTGCAATGGATGCCTGCCATGCCTGGAATGCCCTCCCTCCTCACCTCCACCTCTCAGAAGCCCTTGCTTCCTTTAAAACTCTGCTTAATCAGCACCTTCTACATGAGCCCTTTTATGACTCACCCCTCTAAATAGCAACCCCCCCATCCACCTTGTTTTTATTTGTCTACATGGTGTACTTTATTTTACATATCTCATATACTTATTTTCACACATTTCACATATATTTTGCATACACTTATTATGTACATTCTGTCTCCTGCAATAGAATATAAACTCCCTGCAGACAGGAACTATTCCATCTTTGTCTTTGGATCCCCACCACCCGCACAGTGCCCGGCACATAGTAGGTACTTAACGAATACTTGTTGGCCACCTCTAACATCTTTGACAGATTTCTGTCAGCACCCTTCAGACACTGTTGCTACCGTAGGTCACTGATAAGCCTCTGCCTCTTTTCTGCTGTCTAGATGCTGCTTCTAAGCCCTCTCTGTTAGGCCAGTGGAGCAGGAAGGCAGAAGTTGTTACTAATACCCCTAATGAGGGCACCTGCCTCTCAGAGACTGCTAGTAGGTAACAGATAAAAGCAGGGAGAACTTCATTTTTGGGGGGCTGATGTTGAGGCTGGTCCATCATTCTGCTGTTTCTTGGCAGGAAGTACAATAAGAAAGCTATGAAGCAAGGCAACACTGGGGTGCAGTGGGCTCTAGGGAATTTGTTGCTCCCAAGTGACTTTCCCTATGTGTTTATGTGTGTGTTAATTTGCGTTGTGTACCCCTTGGGAATTCCTGGGCATTGTACTGAAGCAAGGGCTAATTTGTAATCTGTAGCAGCAGGTTGTCAAACACTGACTGAGGTGAAGAGACAGAGATTTGCTAGTTGCCTAAAGTCTGAGGACACAGAGAACATAGAACAGTTTGGAGAATGGGAACTCAGTATCCTGAAATCAGTGACAGCTGCATTCCTGAGGCCTTGCCCAAATGCCTGGCTGAGTATGTGTCAAAAGTGATGGGATCCTGGCAATCAGAGGTCAGAGGACTCTGGCAGTCCAGGTCTATTCACAGATTCCTGTGACTCTACTCTTTTGGTATCTCAGCTAGACTGGTCAGGATAAACGTTCAGAATAACAATCCTGAAGCACAGTAAGAACATCTGTTAGCAAAGATTAGTTTATCAGGAATATTCTGCTCCTCCGCTGAAGCCCTACTTCAATGGCTAACTATGGTGTGGAGGTGACCTGGTGAACTTGAAGGTTACACCAATGGACCATACACTGTAACAGGTTCTACCAAGGTACAAGCTGGAACAGAAAGTATGGGCCTGGTGGTCAACTGTGGGTCTGTCCTCCAAGGGACAAACTGGCTAAGTTCATACAGACTCCATCCCCTTGTCCTAGCCTGCCTTCCCTCTTATCCCACCGGGATCTCTCCCTGCCTCCAATCTTTCTCCTAATTTCCCCTTCTCCTGTCTCCCTCCCATCTGTATACCAACCCTCCTCTTCACCCATGAGGAATAATAAAGGTGCACACCAACCCTCAGGCCCACTCCTCCCTACTCAACCATTGTGCACACCTGTCAAGGAAGCTGTAGGGGGGATTCCTGCCCAGGTGAGAGTTGGAATGGATGCCCCTCCACCCTGGGGGATCTTCCCGCTCTGGCATTCTAGGATTGTAAAATTCTTCTGAAAGCAGAAGCCTTTCCAAGGAGATACAGATCAATGATTATCGCAGGCCTAGAGGTTCTGCTGTGCTTTGGAGGGGAGGGAAGTGTTTTTTCCCACCTGCTTTTCTGGCAGAGGGGTCTTGGCACGGTCGTCTGTATTTTCAGCCACGTTCTTATCACTGACGTTCTCCTTTGCTTGGAAGCTTGTATACACATGTATTTTGGTAGTGAGGTCATCTTTTAGGCCCTCCACATCTTCTTCATCGCTTCCTGGCTGGTTCTTCCATTGTTTCATCAGCTCCAGGACATTTGTGGGTCTCACAGGAGTCAGCGTATTGCCCTAAGGTTATGGATAAATATCACCTTATCTCATCTCAGAGTACACATACTATTTACACTTATATATTTATGGATACATATACATATATATGTATATGTGTGTGATGTTGTTGTTATTGTAGTTCAGTTGTTTCAGTCATGTCTGACTCTTTGTGACCCAATTTGGAGTTTTCTTGGCAAAAGTAATGGAGTGGTTTGCCATTTCCTTCTCCAACTCATTTTACAGATGAAGAAACTGAGGCAAACAGGATTAAGTGACTCGACCAGGGTCACATAGCAAGTAAGTGTCTGAGGTCAGATTTGAACTCAGGTCTTCAAGTGACTGGCAAGTCGCTTAATCACTGTCTGTCCCAATTTCCTCATCTATAAAATGAGGAGAGCATCCATCTCCCAGTATTGTTGTGAGGATAAAATGAGATAATGTTTGTAAAAAATGCCAGTTATTATTATTATTATTATTATTATTATTATTATCATTCACACAATTTAGTAAATTTTCTTTTAGGGTCATTATATGGAAAGACAGGTTCCCAAGGTAGAATATTGCCTCATCACTGATTACACATTCAAAAAACAAGTAGCTAGGAGCAGAGAAGAATCCTTAAAAGCAATATGTAAGGAATGGCAGAACCACTTTAACATCAGTGGAACCCAGCACTTACCTTCTAGGTTCAAAGGTAAATACACAATAGAGCTGAAAGCAAAAGCGGAAGGCGTAGCACAACCCCAGCCTGTGTGTGAATATTTGGCCAATGCCATCCTGATCCACTACCACAAAAGAATGGGATCATTCTAGTTCCTGAGGGAGCAAGCTGAGACCAAGAAGAGGCTGCTGGATATGGACTGCCTATTCTGAATCTGCTGAGAGTCAATCCCTAGGGGACCTTCAGGAAGTCAGTTTGGCTCAGAAGTCAATCTGGAGCTGATACTCTGAGTCCTGAACCCAAATGGACTTCTAAGACCATCCTGAAACATCTGTATTCCAAGAACTGAACCAATCTCCTCAAGGTGCGTAGATGGGAGATAACTGAAGGCTGACCTAGCTGATTTGAGGATGTTCAGAAAGCAGATACCCCTGTTCCAACAAGTGCATATCTGCCCTCCTGGGTGCCAGACCCAGAGCAGCTTGTAAAGGTCAGGTTTCTCAAAGCATTTGCCTAAAAGCTGCCTATTTCATCACTTGTCCTCATGATGAGAAAAACGGTTTTTTCCTAGAACTTGACCTTATAGAGAACTTAAAGTTTTGAATGTTTAGCACTACATGGAAAATAATGTAAGATCAAGGGCTTTGGATCTGGAAGTGACTTTAGAGCTCAATCATGATCGTCCATCTTTTGTAGAGATAAGGAAAATGAGACCCCATGAGGTGAAGGTCCCTTATGAACTAACTGGAAAAACTGGCATCCACACCTGGGTCCATGGACTATAAATCCATGGATCATTCCACTATATTACACTGTACTTTAATCTATTATTGACATTAGGAGTTTATCCCTGAGAATGAAGAGAAGTGCTTTTTCTAGAGAAGACTTCTCTTCCTGAGTTCAAATCTGGCCTCAGACACACACTAGCTGTGTGACTCTGGGCGAGTCACTTACCCCTGTTTGCCTGAGTGTCCTTATTTGTAAAATGACGTGGAGAAGGAAATAGCAAACCACTCTAGTATCTGTGCCAAGAAAACCCCAAAAGGGTCACTGAGAGTCAGATGCGACTGAAATGACTGAACAACAACACTCTAGAGCAGCAAATCTAGGACCAAGGTCAGCGACAAAGCACAACTTAAAGAAAGACTTCAACTACTTGTCCTTTGGTATTTCACGGATATGTCATTTCTTCAGTGTTGTTCCTTTTCCACCAGGGCAATCACACTCTAGGCCTTTCTGAACATTTGTCATGAGCATCCTTCTGGTGATGAGGCTCTCTGAACTTAGCCAGACTAATTCTACAATCACAGACATACAGATCCAGCCAGGCCCATCCTCCAAGTCTTTTCAGCTTGGTAGGACCTGCCCAAGCTTGCAACCTTCTGGCACTCTGATATAATCATCGGATCATTAGCAATACATTTGAGAAAACCGCTGGAAGATGGCATTGTGTATTCTACTTCTTCAAAGTAAAATCACTAGTGCTGTTTTTAACATCTGTGACTCAGGGGTTGGCATCAAGGTTCTGCTGGTGTTTTCTGCCAACACTAGGCTCTCACCACTCTTGCTTAGATGCACAGTCCCTTGAATCATGGAATACTTGTGTTGATAGCAGAAGCTAGTGAGGCATTGAATATGCTCAGTGTAATAACAATGATGTCATTTAATGAACATCTACTATAGCAGTCACTGAAGGGCATAGAGGGATGAATAAATGCTTTAAGGTTTTCTAAGTGCTTTCCCCCACAACAATATTTCAAGGTAGGTACTGTAAGTATTAGTCTCCCTATTTTACAGAACAGGAAACTTTGATCAGGGGAGGTTAAGTGACTTGCCATCAGGCATAGAGTAGGTAAGCACTGGAGCTGAGACTCAAACCCAGGTCTTTGCTACTGAAAATATGTTTGCCCAGCGGGTGATCCCTAGTCATGTCCCTCCTCTGTCCAAAATTCTTTTTATGTCTCTTATTGCCTACCAGGTAAAGTTTATATTCCTTTGTCTAACATTCAAGCTCTCCTTGATTTTGTACACCCTCCATTTTCAGTCTTACCTCGCATCACTCCCTTCTGCAAGCTCTGCGCAACCAAATTGCATTATTTGCTCTTCTACCTTACCTACTCCTAGAATGTCCTTCCTCCATCTTTGATCTGTAGAACTCCTGTTGGTGTTGTTCAGTTGTGTCCAACTGTCCATAACTCATTTTGGGTTTTCTTGGCAGAGATACTGGAGGGGTTTGCCATTTCCTTCTCCAGCTCATTTCACTGATGAGAAAACTGAGGCAAACAGGTTAAAGTGACTTGCCCAGGGCCACATAGCTAGTAAGTGTCTGAGGTGGCATTTGAACTCAGGTCTTCCTGACTCCAGGCCCAGTGTTCTATCCACTGTGCCACCTAGCCGCCCTTAGCTGCTAGAACCCCTTCTAATCCATCAAAGCCCAACTTGTGTTCCCTCCTCCAAGAGGCCTTCCTTGATTCCTGCAGTTTACCATAATCATCCTTTCTATCATTCTAAACCTCATGGCTCTAGCATGCATTATTTTGTACTGCAAGTTTAGTTTGCTTGCAACTAGGCTCTCTTATCCTTCTAGACTATGAGGTCCATGAGAATGGGAATCATTTTTAATCTAAACTTCACATTTTCCCTAGTGCCAAGCACAATCGATTCTTAATATTTGTTTCTTTTTCATGGGTGGAATAATTCACTGATTGATTGAATGCTCATTTTATGAAGCCCCTACTATATTTGGCAGCACAGGGAACACAGAGATGAATGACAAGATTTCTGCTCTCAAGGAGCTCACGCTCTAGTAGGAACAATAACTACAAAATGAGGCAGTATGTGCAAAGAGCCATATAAGAAGTCTAACCAGGTGCTATAGGAATGTAAGGGAAGAAAATATTATTTACTAAGGAAGATCATGTAATACTTTGAGTAAATGGCATCTGAACTGGTATAAAAGGACTGTAACAGAGAGAGATGGAGAGGAAGCAGCTTGAACAAAGGCAAAGGATGAGAAAGAGTAGGGGGTGTTATGGGAATAGCACTCAAGTCTACCTAGAGTATAGGGGACAGTGGAAGATATGCCAGAAAATGTAGGAAGGGGCCAGAGAACAGGCTGACAAGTTTGGACTTGATCCTATAGGGAGCAAGGCATCCTGGAAGGACTAGGCTTTAAGAAGATGAATCTGTTGGCACAAGGTAGGAAGCATGAGGGAACAGGAGGTGGGGTACATGGAAGTGGAGACATCAGTTAGGAGACTTGGAGCACTGAGGGTGGGGTGGTGATGAAAAAAAACCTCAGTGGCTGTGAACAAGAACTAAATCAGAGAAAATAATCCTAGCCATCCTGCCAATGGGGGTCAACAAGCTTTGAAGGGCAAGTCCTTCCTGAATCTGACCTTCAGAAACATAAGGGAGCTTTTTTCCACGTTCTGTCATATTCATTTATATGCACGCACACTTTGTATTACTTTCTTTAGAACACTTTGGTTACAGATAACACATTAGAAAATGCACAAAACATCAACCAAATGATGGAAATCTTTCATCCGATGGAGCTCTTTGAAAGATGGCGCTACATTTTGTGTGAGTTGTTACATCAGGAAAGGTTGGCTTTGGAGCAGGGAGCCTCTGAGAGGCCTGCCATGTTTGCTTTGGACTATTTCAAACGGAGACTCTGAAGTATATGTCGCAGGGCTGTACACATTTAAGCAAAGGGTTTTGTCTTTTAGAAGTTAGCAAAGTGGCGATATTCTTCTAAACTTCACACACTGAACTCCTGAGGGTAGTCTTGTTCAGCGCACGCTTCCTGGCACATTGTTCCCGCAGCAGATAATTCAAAGGGGCCCATAAAGGGACAGCAACAAATTGCTCTAAAAGATCCAGAAATGGAAATTTGGACAAATCATCCAAGCCTACAACTGAATTACATTAATTAATAACTTCGATTAAATGATTCCTCAGTAATTGCTTGCAGAGCCTGTGGGCCCAAGCCATGCATTGTCTTCAGCTGACAACAGAGAAATCTGTAGGCAAACCAGCTCAAAAGGAGTGTCACAGTTGGGATTTTGTCCAACTATAAGTGTGCTTACTATGGTTTGCCAGTGACTGCTTGTTACCTCATTTGGGCAATTATCTGGTGTCAAAATAGTTTAGTACAAAGCAAAAATTAGAGCTAACGTTTTGGTAACATTTTACATCATTTTGCGCACTCCCTATTTGATCCTAGCAAGTTAACAATATGTGCCTACACTGTGCACTTTGTTTGCAATGGGATAACAAAGAGAAAAATGACATGGTCCCTGCAATCAAGAAACTTCATATTCTACTGGGAAAGGGTTTTTTTTTTTTTGTCGGG